CATGTTGCAGGGTTCTGTTCAGGATTTTTACCTTTCTTTAAAGAAGAGCGAATGTTTCAAAATTAGCTGTGCAACATGTGAACCGAGTATAAATCAAGGCACCGGGCTTTTTCTTTTTGATTTAGTGGATAGCCTGAAACAATGGCTCTGAAAGGGGTTAAACTGAATGGCATTATTTATCTGAATGAATCGGTTACTCTGGAAACCAAAGATGAAAAATCAAAATGTTACCATTACCAATATTAGGTACTTATTGTTTCTAGTCTAGACATCCGACTGAGCTGACAATCCCAAAATGGCTTCTCAAGTGTCTAAGGGCCTGGGGAAAAAGTTGGCTACCAAAACCATCAGTGGTCCTCCTCTCCTACTATGATATATTTATGTCTCCTTCATACAAAAGTGCATACTGAAAAACGAAAAATGCATGGCAGCAAGCATGCAAAATAAGTAATTCAGGAGTTAATGTGCCAATTAATCATTTTCATATTGCCTTTTAAGTCTTCTTTATTAAACTAAAAGTTTTCAGACTAGGTTGTCACCAAATCCAGGGATTTTTCCAAGGAGCTGAGGTCCACCTTGCCGGGGAGGACAGATTAGAATGAATTTTCTTTCGTTATCACTTATATAGTTTCCCAGAGTAATTGTTTAGAAGTAATTTCAGATTCGGGCAAAAATAATCATTTCAAAGTTTTACAGAACCTGATCAAGCAACATTAGCTTGATTTAAGATGTTTGATGGCAGTACTTCTGCCCAAGAAATTTTTGGCCATTTCCTAAATTACTGCGAACTGGCATAGCAATGTTAGCCTTCTACAGAATTACACTTGCTGAAGGTCTGATCCATTAATGCTATAGAAGCGGTAGAGTTCTGAATAGGAAACAGAGATCTGCAAAATTACCTAAGTGTTTAACTGCTACTATAAGTGATTAAAGCTAAAATTTAGATCCTCAAGCCTGCTCTGCTGCATTCTAACTCTGTGGGTATCCAAGCTCTTAAGTACCTCAAGATTTTACCAGTTATTTTGTCATACCTCACTGTCTGATTTTGGGCATGTCTTGTCAGTGCCAGCTGCTAGGTGTGTAGCTCCAGTGTAAGCCTTGCCAAGTCCCCTCTGTCCCCTAGGAGTGCCTGCAGTGGTGGGGACCTGGCCTTCCCACACCCAAGCCTGCAGCAGGCTGGGGAACTGGGCTCCACTTCCTGCAGCAGCTGCTGTCTCCTGCTGGAGATGGGGCTGTGGACCTGGGTCCCTAGCCCTGTAGCCCGGGCAGCTGGGGTGCCCCCCCAGTAGGGCTGTGGGTAGGGCAGGGGGCTCTGGGTGGGGGTGAGGGGCCTTTCATTTTAATCACAGATTTTGGAAGGTCATGAGTGTGGAG